ATTCCCTATGAATTCATGGCATAAATGTAAAAATAAAAGATATCTATTGTTAATAAAAAATTTTAAAAAAAAAGAAATACAAAACACTAATTCAAAAACATATATGCACCCCTGTGTTCATGGCACCACTACTTACAAGAAGCGAGATATGGAACCAACTTAAGTGTCCATCTATAGACCTATAGGTGAAGAAGTGGTACATATACACAATGGACTATTAGCCATAAAAAGAAATGAAATTGTGCAATTTGCGACATCTATGCACCTAGACGGTGTTATGCTAAGTGAATAAGTCACACAGAGGAAACAAGTACCATATGATTTCATTCATATGTGGAATTTAAAATATAACAGAAAAGTGACCAAACAAAACAGAAACAAACACATGCATACAGAAAACACATTGATGGTTCACAGATGGGAGTGGAGTTGGTGGGATGGGTGAAAAAGATGAAGGGATTAAAAAATACAAATTGCGAGTTAGAAAAGTAGTCACAGGGATGGAAAGTGCAGCATAGGGAATAGAGTCAGTAATATTGTCATAAGTATATATAATGTCGGATGGCTACTATAGTTACTGGGTTGATGGCTTCTTAATTCATATATTTGTATAATCATTATGTTGTACACCTGAAACTAACATAATGTCAACTGTAATTGAAAAAAATTAAACATTTTTAGAAAATTTTTAAATACAATGTTTCCTCAGTGCCGGTCGAGTGGCTCACTTGGTTAAGAGCTTGCTCAAGAGTGGGAGCTCTGAGCAACAGCATTGCCGGTTTATTCCCACATGGGCCAGTGACACTGCTCCAGAGCTGAGCTGCCGCTGAGCTGCCAACAGGTGGCAGGATGGCTCAGCTGGTGAGAGCACTTGCTCCTAACAACAAGGTTGCCGGTTCGACTCCCACATGGGATGGTGGGCTATGCCCACCCACAACTAAGATTGAACACGACACCTTGATCTGAGAGGCTGTGAGCTGCTGACAGGCAGCTGGATGGCGACTGGACTTGGAGCTGAGCTAGCTGCACCCTCCACAACTAAGATTGAAGGACAACAACTTGACTGTTCCCCTTCCCCAATTCCCCAACACTGTTCCCCTTCCTCAATTGCCCAATAAAATCATTTTAAAAATGTGTATACATTTTTTGGCAGTCTCTGTATATCAGCATGTGCATTTATTTGTATAATACATATATTTTATATATACACTATACAAAATACATAAGTATATATTATTATATATCCTTATATTTACATGTAATAGCATATTTATATTTATATTTGATTAATAATATATAATTTACTAGTATTATATTTCTATATAATTTGTGTATATATATATATAATAGGATATATTTATATACCTATAATAATATAATAATACACAGCCGGTCCTTGAATAACATTCTTTTGTTCAACATTGTTTTGTTATACCATTGATGAAAAAAAAAAGAATTGATTCCTGGCCACTGTGGGGAGTTCACTTGTTCCCCCATGTCTTTATGGGTTTTCTCTGGGTACTCCAGTGTTCTCCCACATCCCAAAAATGTACACGTTAGGTGAATTGGCATGTCTAAATTGTCCCAGTCTGAGTGAGTGTGGGTGTGTGTGTCTGAGTATGTCCTGTGATGGAAGAGCATCCTGTCCAAGGTTGGGTCCTTACACCCTTAGCTGTTGGGATAGGCTCTGGCCACCCACCACCCTGAACTGGAATAAGCAGGTTAGAAAATATTTATCTTCCTTGTTTGTATTAATCTTTCTTAAATGTATGTATAGCTCACATTTATTTCACTGTTTAATATTAGAAGTGTTTTGGGTCTTTATTTAGAACTTGGGTGATGTTTTTGTGACCAGAAATATGCCTTAGGAACTTAACTTTTGTTTGTATCAATTAGCCTATGGTAAAATTGGTTTCATTCATTATACTAGTTTCACTTAAAGTCGCAGTTTCCAAGAACATATCTATGATGTTAAGTGAAGACTTATTGTATATCCTCCCTTGTCTGTTCCCTCACCTGTAAACTGGGAATAATTACAGTAACTCCTTCATATGGTGTTTGTAAGGATTAAAATGAGTTCAAGGAAGGGCCGGCCAAGTGGCACAGTTGGTTAAGAGCTCACTCAAGAGTTTGAGCTCTGAGCAACAGCCGTTCGAGTCCCGACCTGAGCTGAGCTGCCAACAGGTGGCAGGATGGCTCAGCTTAAAAAAAAAAATGAGTTCAAGGAAAGGATTCAGCAGTACACTGGAGCCTACTTGTATAGGTTTGCAGACTGCTTATTCAATTTTCAGGAATTTTGCGAACTGGTTGTTAAACACAGCTATTATTAAAAATCAAATGATCTAAACTTAAAATTAAATAAATTAGATTTTTAAAAGATGATAAATACACAAAATTCATTACTTCTTTATTATTTTGCTACATGTCACTATTCTCTATGCTTTTGAGATCATTTACCCCTATTTTAACTATGTTAGAAATACTACATAATGGTGCACTACGGTAATGGTGACCCTATATCTTCTATTTTGAGATTTAAACCTCTGAGTTAAATTGATTTGACAGTGGTTTGATTTGGGACTTTTGAAAGTTTTTTTTCCCTTTCTTGTCCTCCCTTCCCTCCCACCAAGCCTTACTGTACAGTTACTATTCATACCAGTTCCAATGGTTCTGTTTACTTCCGGCCCATGCCTAGACCTGTGACTTGGGAGAGATTTTTGCATCTGGAAGGGATCCACTTTCTGACCCTGAGGCAGACCAGTTCCTGGGAAGTGTTTTTTCCTGAAGTTGGCTGAGCAACTTCTCCTTTTCCTTTGTTCTGCCTCCTTACCTGCCCATAAAACCTTTTTTCGGTATTAAGAGCAGGAAGGCAATCTCTGTGACTCAGAGTCCACTCTCGGTCCTTAATGCTGGCATTTTGGAATACACCTGCTTTTCTTTCCACCAAACTCGCCTCTCGAGTTTTGGCTTTCGTGCAGCGAACAGCCGAACCTTTCGCCCGCTAACACTACTGCATCTCTTCTGAACTGTGTTCCATAACTATATATTGGTAACTTGAAGTCTAGCAAGAGGATAGTGTGTAAACCATGGAAATTGGTAAATGTTTGAAATCAGGGTTTCCTCCCTCTCTCTCCTCAAGGAGCAGGTTGTTAACCATTTACCAGCACGCCACTAAGAGCAATGAGAATAGTGCCTGGCACATGGCAAACCATATAATAAATGTTTCCATTATTATATTTGCTTGTGCACCGGGTGGGAATGTATAGATTCTTGGGGTGGGGGGGTCAGAGTTAAAAATGAAGAATTACAAAATTACAAAAGGCCAGTGTGCTGAACTACACATATTTATTCCTCCCAATAACTGTTAAGTTTGTAGTACATATTATCCCCATTTTACAGATGGAGAAACTTAAGTTCTGAAATGGTACAGTTCAGACAGCAATATCACTTAGCAGAAGTGAAATGCGAAATTGCAGCCCAGCCGCTTCAGCGCGCTACCCCATTTAACGCACGTTCCTTCCTTTCAAGTTCAAGTCAGCGGTAATTTCACTTCGCGGCACGCGTAAAATGAATGGGTGCTGTGGTGCTCGTTGCATTTTGGGAAATGTAGTCTGCAGGCTCAATGAACACCGCTGCCCAAGAAGGGGTGGGGGCCGGCCGAGTGGCGCGATGGTTAAGAACTTGCTTGGGATGCCAGAGGGCCCCGGCTCGGATCCCACATATGAGGGCCAGTGACACTGCCCTCCACAGCTAAGATGCTGAACAACAGCTCAACCTGGAGCTGGGCTGCCCTGAGTCGCCGGCGACGGCGTGGGCTGCAGTCCCTGTGGCAGTGGATTGCCATGGGCTACCGTGTGTGGCCAGCAGCCAGCGTGAGCGGCCAGCAGCCGCAGTGAGCGGCCGTCCAGAAGCCGGCGACTGATCTGCCTCGCCAGAGAAGAGCGCAATGATGGTGCCAACTTGGGCCAGTGAAGCAACATCCTCCACAACTAGATTGAAGAACAAAATGACAGCACCTTGTCTGTTCCCCTTTCCCCAAGTCCCCAGCACTGTTCCCATCCCCCAATTCCCCAATAAAAATCTTTAAAAAAAAAAAAAGAAGGGAGGGGTGGGGATTAAATTAACTTTAGCCTTGGAACAAAAGAGTGGTTTTTTTGTTCCTCGCGACATTTCAGTTACGCATGCGCGATTTCAGCAGCTTTTTGTCGTGCCGTTGCATGCTGGGAACCGCAGTTCTCTGGACCAGCAACGTCGACACAAGGTGACGGGACTCACGTAGTAAGTTCAAGTGGGGTCCGGACCTTGCCAGAGGCTCTGCATTCCACGATGACAGGCTTGCCACGCTGCGGTAGCCCTTAGGCGTGTGCGGCAGGCATTTGGATCAAGTGAGAACATAAACCGAAGCCCTAAGATTGCTCACCGGTTTGCGCTCTCGCCTAGGCTCGGGCTGCTCGCGGACCGGCCTCCTTAGTACTGTTTCTTCCCACTCTAAAAGCTAAGGTAGGCCTTGGGGCGCGGAGGACGTGGGTCTAGACCGAGACGGTTGAGGCACGACTGCCCTGTCCCACCGGCGAGGGAAGGAGGGAAGTTCGCCCTCAGCGCTGCAGCTGCTCAGTCTGGGCGGCTGACACCTGGTAAGCTGCAGATCCAAGGTTTGTGTGTAGAAGGGAACCACTGTTGTCGGGTGAGCTGGGGGTACAGGGGTACATATATCAGCGGAGTCGCCTTGAGGGGGCTCTGGAGGCCCCATTGAGGACACGGTCTTTGAGTTACTGTCGAGGAGGGAACGGGAGTGTGGCCAGAGGATTGTTAATAGGAGAGGGGAGCACGTGAGTGCACTGGAAGTCTGGTGGGGGTGTTACTCAGGAATCATTAGGGGCTAATAGTGTTTTAGTCGACATGTTCATGGGGGCCAGTGGGGGGGTGTTCATTTATTAATGAGAGGGTGGTAGAATGGGCAACTAGAAGGTAATGGAAGGCAGATGGGGGTGTGATTCCTGAGGGATTGGTGAAGGTAAGATTTCAACAGGTTAATGACAAGCGATGGGGCATAGTAATCGAAAAGGTAAGGTCAGGTTATAGAGGGAATAATAGAGGCTGGTGGGGGTCATGATCAAGAAACTAGTGGAGGCAGTGATCAAAGAAGAGCGAATGAGAGGCTGGAAGGGTGTTGTGGTCAAAGGCTTTTTACTGGATGATCATGGCATGATCCAGGAATTAATGATAACTGAGCCAAGAGGGTAATAGTAAGGTGTCGGGGTGTGATCATCAGGCATCAAGTGATTATTGGGAGGCAAGGTGAGCAATGAGGAGAGAATGGGGAACTGATTATTGGGGATTAGTGTGTGGTGATGAAGGGGTTACAGGGGGCTAATGGCGTGATCTGTGAGGGATCAATTGGAGGGCTGAGTTAATGGGAGCTGATAAGTCATAGTAATTGAGAGTTTAATGGGGAGCTAATAGACCATGAACCTCCAGGAGTTAATAGGGGTTGATGAGAATGTAGTAGTATAGGAATTACTGGGGCCTAATTATTTCAGGGATTAATGGGAAACAGGGTAGATTCCCCATTTCAGGGAGAGAGAGATTAAGGGGGTGGGAGGGTACAATGAGGTAGTATTAGGATAATGGGGATGAAAACAAGGGATTAATGGGGGGCTAATAAGGTTATATGAATCTAGGGGCAGTGAGGATGGCTGGGGAGACAGCAAGATATTAATGGGGATAAGGTGGGCAGAGAAGGGTTTATAGTGAAAGTCTCAGCATTTAATATGTGGAGTGTGAGTGACAGCAGTAAGTTGACAAGGGTCAGTCATGGGTCATTTATGAGATAAGTGTTGGGTTTGGGGGATCTATGGGTGAGTGATAAAGCCTGAGAGCTCAATGCTGGGGTCCTTCTGGCTCTGTGAGGTCAGTCAGGTCAGTGACTGGGTTGCAGTCTTCCAGTCTGCTGAGTGAGCTTCATGTGTATCAGATGAGCCCAACTTGGTTTGTGTTGTTTTTCGCTGCCCTTCAGAGGTAGGTGGTGGCCCACTTACTCAGTTACTGATATGGGACGGTATCGGCTTACCGTTGGCAGGTCCCTGGGCAAACAGTGTGTGAGATGGGACGAACGTCAAAGGACAAGCGGGATGTCTACTACCGCTTGGCCAAGGAGAATGGCTGGCGTGCCCGCAGTGCCTTCAAGCTGCTACAACTGGATGAGGAATTCCAGCTCTTCCAAGGTCCCCACCTGGTGGGCGAGTCACAGGGGGATGGGGTGGGCATAGGGAACAGACTAGCAAGCTAAGTCTACAGAGCTCTCTGCGGTAGGTGGGCTGACTTGGAGGGTCTGTGGGGCAGGGGCCAGGCAGGAAGGTGTGCAGATAATAAAGAGGGTTTGGTCCTCTGGGCAGCAGATAGATGTGGGTGCTCCAGGAAAAGGGATGAATTTTGCAGGGCCCCAGGGTTGGAGAGTTAGGTACAATTGACCACGACACCTTCCTGTTGTGTGCTCAGATGTGACACGGGCAGTTGACCTTTGTGCAGCCCCGGGCAGCTGGAGCCAGGTGCTAAGCCAGAAGATCGGGTGAGTGTGGAGTCCCAGATGGGGAGCCTGGGAGGGCAGGCTAGGTGGGGAATGGGCCAGGAGTGAACACCGGGCTGACATGGGCTGTGTTGTCCACAGGAGCCAGGGTTCTGGCCACGTAGTGGCCGTGGACCTTCAGGCTATGGCTCCGCTACCAGGTGTATTACAGATCCAGGGGGACATCACCCAGGTGAGCATGGATGAGGGTATTGAAGTGTTTCCTGGGCGAAGATCCCCCAAACTGGGGGACTGCTGAAAGTGGAAGAGAGAAACAGACTGAGAAAGACAGACAGAAATAGAGTAACTGAGAGAGCCCAAGAAAGTGTAACAGCAGAGAAGCAGAGCCAGCAGGTTGTCATTGCAGAGAAATAGCAAAAAATGATGGGACTGGGTCCCCAGAGATGGGCCCGGTCTTTGACAGGCAAAACCTGAGCATTTGGCTGACCCAGGGCTTGTAGGCCAGGGCCATGAGCAGGTGGGGTTAGAGGGCAGCAGTGTGGGGGGACCTTGGGGCCACTCATCCACCCTCTCTCCCATAGCTGTCCACTGCCAAGGAGATCATCCAGCACTTTGAGGGCTGCCCTGCGGACCTAGTGGTGTGTGACGGGGCTCCCGATGGTAAACACAGGGGTTGGGAGGCCAGGTGGGGGCGCCCCATGTGTGTCCTTCCACCTTGTTGGCTTCTTTCACCACTTCACCTCCTCCCTGCCTCTCTCCTCCGCTGTCAGCTGTTTCCCACATCTGGCAACTTCTCCCTACTCTGCTGCCTGCTCTCCACCTCCATCTTCTCCCTAATCATACTCCACTTTGGTTTTTTCTGTTGTGCACTCTTCTCTCTTCTCATCTCTCATCTCTCTGCAGCTATCCAGCTCCATCGTATTGCCCATTCATTTGGATGGTTGCCCATCAGTCATCCGTTCAACACATGTTTACTGAACACCTATTGTATGTCAGGCACTGTTCTACACTTTGGGAAAACATTTCTGAATAAAATTCCACTAATCTCTGACCTCATAGATCTGGTGTTCTAGTGGGAGCAGATGGAAAACAAACAAATGATGGAGCTCTGTAGTGTGTCAAAAGGTGATAGGTACGATGAGGAAGGGGAGGGAGGTGGGGAGTACCTGTCGGAATGTTAACTAATGTAGAAGAGAAAGGCTTCACTGACATTAGTGCAAAGATCTAAAGGTGAGAGAGTGGGCCAGGGGTGTGCCTGAAGGAAGAACAATCCAGGCAAAGGGACCAGCCCATGCAAAGGCACTGAGGTGGGAGAGTGCTTGCCATGTGTGAGCACCAGTGCGGAGATCAGTGTGGTTGGATCAGATTGAATGAGGGGGAGAGTGGTAGGAGGTGAGGGCAGTGAGGTGACAGGGGACAAATCCTTGTGGGCCACAGTAAAGACTTTGGCTTTTTTGCTGAGATGAGAGCTCAGAGGAAACCATGAGAGTGTTATGCGCAATGGAGGGCTGTGCCTGACTCTGGCTGCTGTGAGCAGTATGAAGGGCGAGGGTGGAAGCAGGGGGACTGGGGAGGAGGAGGCCACTGTAGTAGTCCAGGTGAGTGATGACAGTGATGGCAGTGGCAGAGATGAGAAGAGGGTCAATTCAGATCTTTTAAAAGTAGGGCTGGGGCCAGCCAAGTGGCGTGTTGGTTAGGAGTTGGCTCGGGATGCCAGCTCTGAGCAGCAGGGCCCCAGTTCAGATCCCAACATGAGGGCCAGTGATGCTGCACCCTCTACAGCTAAGATGGTGAACAACAGCTCAACCTGGAGCTGGGCTGCTGTGAGTCGCTGGGCAACGGCATAGGCTGCAGTGGGACTGGCCAGCAGCAGTCCTGAGCTTTCGTGAGCTGCCACGAGCCGCCGTGAGCGGCCGTTCAATGGCCATACAATGACCGGCGAGCGACTGCCTCTCCCGGGAAGAGCGCAATGATAATACCAACATGGGCCAGTGAAGCAACGTCCTCCACAACTAGACTGAAGAACAAAAGGACAACAACTTGTCTGTTCCCCTTCCCCAATTCCCCAATAAAATCTTAAAAAAAAAAGTAGGGCTGCCAAGATTTGCTGATGGCTTGCGTGTGGGTATGAGGAGAGTATGGGGAGGCATCAAAGATAACTAAGGTTTTTGGCCTGGACAGCTGGAAGGATCAGATGAGATGGAGAAGATGATGGGAGGAGCAGGTTTGGGCAGGAAGGTGAGGAGTTTGGTTTTGGATGGGTTGAGTCTGAGATGTCAAGTCTGCTCCAAGTTTGGAGGTAAGAGTCTGGACAGTTGTTCAGACTTCTGAGCGTCTGGAGTTAAGAAGCAAAAATGATGACAAAGAGACTTTTGCAGATGAGGTTGTTTTCAGAATTAAAATGAGTTCCTAAGGGTTAGGAGCTCAGAATGTGTATCCAGTTGACAAATATGCATGCAGAACCTTAGTAGTAAGAGCCTGGGAAATGTTTTTAGCATTCTAACTTCTCTGGGACAAGACGATAGCTAGAACTGGATGGCCCCCCTAACGCCATTCCTCTTGCCGCAGTAACTGGCCTCCATGATGTTGATGAGTATATGCAGGCCCAGCTCCTCCTAGCCGTGAGTAACCCTGGCTGCCCCTGCCTCAGTTTGGCCCCCTCCTGGCTGTCTCCGCCTCAGCCTTAACCATCTGTCCTGCCCACAGGCTCTAAACATTGCTACACATGTCTTGAAACCAGGAGGCTGCTTTGTAGCCAAGGTAAGCCTTGGGGAACCTGGTACGGGACAGAGGAGTCCCCAAAGCCCACCCTCATACCTCCATCTCTGCCTCCCCACCCTGCAGATTTTCCGAGGCCGGGATGTGACACTGATCTACAGCCAACTGCGTGTCTTCTTCTCCAGCGTGCTCTGTGCCAAACCCAGGAGCAGCCGGAACTCGAGCATCGGTCAGTGGAATAGAGGGGCTGCTCAGGCCAATACGAATCTCGGGGACCCATCCTGCCCAGAGCAGAGGTGGCAGTCATCCTTCACTTCACTTTCCACCCACAGAGGCCTTTGCTGTCTGTCAGGGTTATGACCCCCCTCACGGCTTCCTGCCGGACCTGACCAAACCCCTGCTGGACCACTCTTACGGTGAGAGCCAGAGCCCTGGGCGCTGTCCCTGGGGAGACTCTGCCCCCTTGTGGAATTTATGTCTCAGGAGGGCCCTCAACCCTGCCCTCTGGTGGAAAATTTGCCCTCTGTGGATATTTTGTCCTAGGAAGATTTTCAGCCCAGTTATAGTGGTGACTCTTGGAGCTGGTGAAATTCTGTACCAGGAGGGTTCTGAGTCCTGCCCCAGTGGAGACTTTACCTGCCTAAGGAGTTTGTAGCCTAGGAAGACTCAGTCACACCACCAGGAAACCCCACCCATGTGGTAATTTTGCCCCATGCGTATCTTTCTCCTGGCCCTCAGTGAGAAAAGTCACAGAGCACGCTCTTGTAGCAAGTGAGACAAGGTCCAGACAGTATATGATAGAATGGCAGGTGCACATAAAAGTGTGATCCAAAAAAGCAGGTGGGGGGGCATGTTGTTTTAGAAGAGATGATCATGGAGGGCCTCCCTGAGAAGGTCTTCAGAACCAAATGAAGGATTTCTGGTAGAGGCCCATGAGAGTAGCTGGTAGATACGTGGAGAGGCCTCAGTACCCATGGTGTGGCCTGAGTCATGAGGGGTCCCAGTCATCCCAGCCCTGCCCTGTCTTATTTCTCCCTGCTTGTCAGATCCAGATTTCAACCAATTAGATGGTCCCACCCGCATCATTGTGCCATTTGTGACCTGTGGGGACCTGAGCTCCTATGATTCGGACCGCAGTTACCCACTGGACGTGAGTGCCCAGCAGGCAGTAGGCAGATGGGGGGGGTGGGGCACAGTCCTAGGTTCCGATGTCTTCACCATCTTCCCGCCATGTGTCCCTGCAGCTGGAGGACGGCTCAGAGTACAAGTATACTCCACCCACGCAGCCCCCCATCTCGCCACCATATCAGGAGGCCTGCACATTGAAGAAGAAGGGGTGGCTGGCCAAGGAGATCCGCCCTCAGGACTGCCCCATCAGCACAGTGGACACATTGCCCCAGCCCTTGGCTGCCCCACAGTGTCACACCCTGCTGGCCTCTGAGGTCTGGAAACACATGGCCCAGGGCCCGCAGTGCCCCCCTCCCAGTGTGCCTCTTTCTACCCCGAAATCACATGGTTTCTGGGGCCAAAATTCTCTTCCCTACCTCCCAATAGCTATAAAAATCATGGGTAAAACCAAGTATAATGAGTAGAATAGCTTAGCCAAGTAACTGAGTCCCTATTTTTTTTTCTTGGGTAGGTGGAAGACAGTGAAATGAATTGTTCACCTTAACACATTAAGGTAAATTTGTCTTTTTATCTAAGAGTTTGAGTACAGGGCACCTTTAAGAAAAAGATCAGTAAAATCTCACCTTTGACATTTTTACATCAACTGATAAGATTTCAGTCAGTAGACCTTTACTAAGCATCTGGTGTTGCATGTCAGGAACTGCTTTAAGCATTTTACATGTTACATATTGAGGCATTCCATAGGCATTTATTATGCACGCATCATGTGCTAGGCATTGTTCTAGGTTGGGAGGTAGAGTGGGAAATGAAATAGGCAAATACCTTGGCTGTTGTAGAGCTGCTAGATTGAGGAAGAGGTAATAAACAACAACACACTCTGAATAAATGCAGGGGATTACACACACACACTATATACAGAGGGTGCCAAAAATGTATATACATTTAAGAAAGGAAAAAACACTGTTAAAATTGTAATACTCAATATATACCGATAACAAAAAATTAATGCAAGTCGTATATACATTTTTTGGGACCCCCAGTATATACCAACATACACATTTATAGTTTGCATTTCACTGTATTTATACAGCTTGTATTGTAGTATATATGTATGTGTATATACACACATATATTTTATATATAGTATGTAAAAGTAATACTGGATATGAAATTTTTAAAAAATAAAACAGGGTAAAGAGAACCAGGAATTATGGGGGTGACTGTGTGCTGTTTTTAAAAGGGTTGCCATGGGCGGCCTCACAGAGGTTGGGTTTGAGCAGAGACCTGAAGGAGATGAGGCAGGGAATACATGTATGCATCTAAGAGACAGTATTCCAGGGAGAGGAAATAGCAGATGCAAAGGCCCTGAGGTGGAACTGTGCCCGGTGTGAGGGAGCAGTGAGGAGCCAATTGGCTCATAGCAGAGTGAGCTAAGCCTGTCAGTGCCAAAAGGCTTCTCATCCTCAGGACCTCATGTTAGAGGACGTCCCTTTCTGACAGTGGCTTAGCAGTTGTTCAGACCAAGTCTTCCATTACAAAAAAAGAAGTAAAAAAAGACACCTTTAAACTAATGAAACAGCAAATCACAGTGGGGAAAGATATTTACAACTCCTATATATAGTATCCTTGATGTTAAAAAGCTCTTATAGGGCCGGCCGAGTGGCGCGATGGTTAAGAACTCGCTTGGGATGCCAGAGGGCCCCGGTTCGGATCCCACATATGAGGGCCAGTGACACTGC